TTAGTTCCTGCTACTCAGGAGGCTGAAGTGGGAGGATCACTTGAGCCTGGGAGGTGAAGGTTGCAGTGGCCTGTGATTGTTGTTCCACTGCACTCCAGCCTGGGTCACAGAGCAAGACCGTGTCTCAGAAAACAAACAAACAACAACAAAAAAAAAAAGAAAGAAAGAAACGAAGATAGGCGCAGCTCTCCAGCCCGCTCGAACGCTCCCCACAGCCACTGCCACCCATTGGAATGGCCAACAGGGGACCTGCATATGGCCTGAGCCGGGAGGTGCAGCAGAAGATTGAAAAGCAACATGACACAGACCTGGAGCAGATCCTGATCCAGTGGATCACCACCCAGTGCCCAAAGGATGTGGGCCGGCCCCAGCCTGGGCGGGAGAACTTCCAGAACTGGCTCAAGGATGGCACGGTGCTATGTGAGCTCATTAATGCACTGTACCCCGAGGGGCAGGCCCCTGTAAAGAAGGCCCAGGCTTCCACCATGGCCTTCAAGCAGGTGGAGCAGGTCTCCCAGTTCCTGCAGGCAGCTGAGCGCTATGGCATTCACTCCACTGACATCTTCCAAACCATGGACCTCCGGGAAGGAGAGAACATGGCCTGTGTGCAGCGGATGCTGATGAATCTGGGTGGGCTGGCAGTAGCCCGGGATGATGGACTCTTCTCTGGGGAGCCCAACTGGTTCCCTAAGAAATCCAAGGAGAATCCTCGGAACTTCTCAGACAACCAGCTGCAAGAGGGCAGGAAGTGATCAGGTCGCAGATGGGCACCAACCGCGTGACTGGCTACGGGATGCCACGCCGGATCCTCTGATCCCGCCCCAGACCCTGCTCCTGCCGTCCCACAAATGGTTAATATGTATGTAGATATGTATTTTAGCAGTGACATTCCCAGAGAGCCCCAGAGCTCTCAAGCTCCCTTCCGTTAGGGTGGGGATTCAGCCTGTCCTGTCACCTCTGGGGTGCCTGTTGGCAGCCCCTCCCCCCAGCTTACTAATACATTCCCTACTCCATACCCATCAAAACTGGACCAACTGGGCTCTTTTCCCCTGGGATCAAAATGTAGGGGCCTCAGCACCCCACCCCCATGCTTCTCCTCTCTCCTGGCCTGCTCTGTCCCTGAGCTCTGTGCCCTCCATCCATCCATGGCTGGGCATCAGTGATGCTGCCTCTGCTTTCTGAGGTTGGACCCGCCTTGCTTCTACAAGCATGCTTCTCCCACAGCGGTGGCTGGCTTCGGGAACTTAATTTATAGGGAGGAGCCTGTGGCAGCTGCTGCCCCAGCCACAGCTGCACTGACTGTGCTCACCGCACATCTGGGGCAGCCTTCCCTGGCACAGGCCCTCACGGCTTCTCACTGTCCATTCCCCTCACTATGGCTAAGGGGTGGGGTGAGGGGATGGAGAGGGAGGGCTGTCTACCATGGTCTGGGGCTTGAGGAAGATGAGTTTGTTGATTTAAATAAAGAATTTTGTCTTTTTTGAATGGAAAAAGAAATGAAGATAGGAGGATATATAGAATGGATGGATAGAGAAAATGGATAGAAAAATAAATAGGATGGATAAATAGAACATAGGTAGATAGATACATAAATAGGATGAATGGGTAGACAGGTGGGTGGATGGATAGAAAGATAGATACATACATACATGGATGGATAGATAGATGCACAGATGGATGAATGGATAGGTAGAAGATAGTAGATAGATAAATAGTAGATACATGAATGGATAGATAGTAGATGATAAATGACTGGCTAGATAGTGGATAGATGAATGGATGGATAGTAGATGAATGGATGGATAGTAGATGAATGCATAGATAGAAGATGAATGCGTAGATAGTGATGAATGCACAGTAGATGAATGCATAGATAGTAGATGAATTCGTAGATAGAAGGTAAATGACTGGTTAGATAGTAGATAGATGAATGGATGGATAGTAGATGAATGGATGGATAGTAGATGAATGCATAGGTAGAAGATGAATGCGTAGATAGTGATGAATGCACAGTAGATGAATGCATAGATAGTAGATGAATTCGTAGATAGAAGGTAAATGACTGGCTAGATAGTGGATAGATGAATGGATGGATAGAGAGTGAGTGAGTGAGTGAGTGGTAAGTAGGTAGCAGAGAGGTAAATAGATAGATAGGCAGGTAGCAGGATGAATATTTAAAAAGCACGGGAGAGGGCAGAAGGCCTAGAAGGACACACATTAACCTTTCCTACAAGGATCATAGGATATTTTATATTCAGGAAAATGACATTTAAGACATCGTAAGTGGACCAGGACCTTGGACAGAGGGCGCAGCTGCCCTGTTAGCAGTCCACACCACCCGCCCACAGATCTACTTAACCTCAGCATGTGCCGCCTTCCATGTGTGAACCACACGGAGTTCCTTTCCTGCCACTGATGTTGACCTGGGTATTTGCTCACGTCAGTGTCCAAATGGCAAACCCACAGGACATGGATGGGGTCCTGCAGTCTGGACAAGGCCCAGGAGTACCCTTGGAGGCCACGTTGGGCTTCCCCATCCACGAAATTGCTCTTGGGTGCCTTTTCTCAGAAGATGGCCCATGGCATCCATCAACTTCCTTGAGGTGATGCTTGCGAAAACGGAGACCCCACTCCAAAGGAGGATGTGGACTCCGAGTGGTTGGGCAAAAACGTCCCAACCTGAGGTACCCTGTGCTTCCCCAGCGGCAGCTCATCTGGACACCGCCATCAGGACAGCAACCACACTGGCTCCAGCCACATGCACTTCATGACCCACATCGTCTTGCTGTTGGGTAGAAGAGGGTCAGAGAAAGCTTCCATGGCACAGAAGCACATCAGCATAACCAGAGCCAAACATCTCACCCTCCAGATTCCTCATCCCTCTGGGCAGAAAGAAGCAGTGTCCCAAGAAGCCATGCCCCTACTTGACCCCTGACCCTGGAAATGCCCCAAAACCCGCCCAGGAGGCTGATTCCAGCCAGGCTGCCCTGGGGTACTGCCCTAGGACAATTTCTTTCTGGAGCCACAGTACTTGCTTGGGGTGGGAAGAAATTGTTACAAACTCGCCAAAGGCTCTGAGTTGATTGGCTTTTCCTTTAGAAAGCATTGGCTTTTTATCTTCAGCAGTTATTCAGAGCCAAACTTCATGAAAAGGGGAACAGAGTGACATCCTGGGAGTATCCTACTGCATAAAAACTGAGGTGTGATACTTTGTTACAAAGTAACAAAGCTCATCTTTTTTATTTCCTAGTAGTCTAATTGAAAAGCCTCACAAAGCTGCTTGCTTCACAGCAGCAGTTTCTGGGCAAAGCATGCAGTCAGCCAAGGGTGAATATCTTGAAGTTTAACACTCTCTTGGAGGCAGAAGCTCCAGTTTGGTTGAAAAATAGTATCCTAACTGTTGAGGCACACCTTTGCAGTGGGACTCTGTAACCCCACAAGGGGCTCGCCTTCCTTGCTGCCCAGACAGAGCAGATTCATCAGACAGGGAAGTTGCAATAAAGAAAGAGTCATGGCCGGGCGTGGTGGCTTAAGCCTGTAATCCCAGCACTTTGGGAGGCCGAGGCGGGTGGATCACGAGGTCAAGAGATCGAGACCATCCTGGTCAACATGGTGAAACCCCGTCTCTACTAAAAATACAAAAAATTAGCTGGGCATGGTGGTGCATGCCTGTAATCCCAGCTACTCAGGAGGCTGAGGCAGGAGAATTGCCTGAACCCAGGAGGCGGAGGTTGCGGTGAGCTGAGATCGCGCCATTGCACTCCAGCCTGGGTAACATGAGTGAAGCTCCGTCTCAAAAAAAAAAAAAAAAAAGAAAGAAAAGAAAGAGTCATTCACCCAGAGCGGGCTGCGTGGGAGACCAGAGTTTTATTATTCCTCAAATCAGTCTCCACAAGCATACAGGGAGCAGAGTTTTTAAGGATAACTTGGTACGAGGGGGGAAGCCAGTGAGCCAGGAGTGCTGATTGGTCAGAGATTAAATCGGAGGGAGCTGAAGCTGTCTTCTTGCACTGAGTCAGTTCCTGAGTGGGGGCCACAAGATCAGAAGAGTCAGTTTATGGATGTGGGTGGGGCCCGCTGATAAGTGAAGGGTCTGCAAAATGTCTCAAGCACTGATCTTAGGAGCAGTTTAGGGAGGGGCAGCATCTTGTAGCCTCCAGCTGCATGACTCCGAAACCATCATTTCTAATCCTGTGGCTAATGTTAGTCTCGTCCCCAGGCAAGAAGGAGGTCTGCTTTGGGAAGGGGCTGTTACCATCTTCGTTTAAACTGTAAACTACAAACTAAGTTTCTCCCAAAGTTAGTTCAGCCGAGGAATGAACAAAGACAGTTGGAGGTTAGAAGCAAGATGGAGTTGGTTAAGTTAGATCTGTTTCACTGTCTCAGTCATAGTTTTGCAAAGGCGGTTTCAACGCCAGGAATGTGATCACGCCCAAGTTCTGCTGATCCTCGGCCTTGCTTGCCCATTTCTCTTCTGTTTCAAGTCAGCAGCTTCTCCTGGTGAACTGCTCTGGAATAACTTCACAATGAAAAGCTTTTCCCCTAATGAGGCTGTAATCCTCGCTGAGAACGCTTTGCCGTTTGCTGCATTTTAATGCTCTGGCGCCACATTTTCCCCCTTTTCCTTTTGGGATAAAAGACTTCTTTGTCCCATGTCTTCAGCTGGTGCTTAGGGGTATGGAGCAAAAAGTGGGTGCCAGAGTTGAGATTCAGGGAGTGGAGAGTGGGGAGGGGCTTCGGCCCTCTGGGAATGGCACAGAGGGATGCAGTGGTGCAGCCCTGGCCACGGCACGTGTCTGCGTGGTTAGAGTCAGATGTGGCTGAGCTAAGGGGGGAAGTCCGGGCAAAACCTGAGTCTCAGCAGCCAGGGCAGGAGTGGGGAACCTCTGCACCAAGCCATTTTCCTCCCCAGGAGCCTCAGGGAGCCCTTAGATACCAGCCTTGAGAGATCGTCCACATTCGTCCATGGTAACGCCCTTGCTGTCTCTCTCTGTCACCAGTGGAAGGACTAAAAGTGGTGGAGATTGAGAAATGCAAGAGTGACATTAAGAAGATGAAGGAGGAGCTGGCGGCCAGAAGCAGCAGGTAGGGTCTGCGCTGGGGCCGCGGACGGCCAGGCCTGGGGAGGGCTTTTCTTTCCAGATGGGCTGGGGCTGTGGGCTTTGTTTCTCCAAAAGAAAGTCTGGTGGTTCAGGCTCGGGAGAACGCAGCATGGAGACAGCCACCCTGCTTGCCACCCACCTGTCAGTGGTGTGGCTTGCTTCTAACGAAAGAGCACATAGGGGCCGGGCGGTGGCTCACGCCTGTAATCCCAACGCTTTCAGAGGCCAAGGCGGGAGGATCACTTGAGGTCAGGAGTTCAAGACCAGTTTGGCCATCATGGTGAAACCCGATCTTTACTAAAAATACCAAAATTAGCCAGGGTGGTAGCACACGCCTATAACCCCTGCTATTCTGGAGGCTAAGGCAGGAGAATCACTTTAACTGGGGAGGCAGAGGTTGCAGTGAGCTAAGATCGTACCACTGTACTCCAGCCTGTGCTCCACAGAGCAAGACTCTGTCTCAAAAAAAGAAAAAACAAAAAAAGAGCAGCCGGCACAATGGCTCATGCTTGTAATCCCAGCACTTTTGAGAAGCCAAGGCAGGCAGATGGTGAGGTCAGGAGTTTGAGGCCAGCCTGACCAACATGGTGAAACCCCATCTCTACTAAAAATACAAAAGTTAGCCCGGTGTGGTGGCGCATGCCTATAACCCCAGCTACCGGGGAGGCTGAGGGCAGGAGAATCACCTGAACCGGGAAGCAGAGGTTGCAGTGAGCCAAGATTGCGCCACTGCACTCCAGCCTGGGCTCGACAGAGCAAGACTCTGTATCAAAAAAAAAAAAAAAAAAGGAGCACATACAGGGGCTAGGAAGACGACTTCGCAGAAAGGGGAGTCCTCCTTCTGCAGATCCAAGCCTTAGGAGCAGTGTATCCAGCTTGGAATAAGTTGATATTCATTTTTAAAGACAGAACAAAAAGAGAAAAGGCACTTGGGGGATGAGCCTCCTGGTGCCCCCGGGAACCCCATTCCCTATGTGATATTCCCATGAGGTTGCAGTCCAGCGAGGGCTCCAGCCATTAGGAACACCGAAGTCATTCTCCCAGGAGCAGCCATCCTTCACAGGTGCTGCGGGGGCCCAAGGAGCTGTGACTTGAGGGGAGAATGCCACAGCCTCCACGATGCTACCTCCAAAGTCAGTTTTTTGTACAGCAGGACTCTTTATTAGAGCCAGGGTCAGGACATGTGTGGATGAACCTCGCCCAAACTGGGGATGGAAATGCACATAGTATCAAAGAGACACCAGTGATGATGAGCAGAGTGCAGCACTTGTGTGCGGGCGCTGAGCTGAGTGAGGGGCACACAGGACCCGCTAACACCTCCTGGCTTTGCCTCCATGCCTGCTGGTGCCAGCCCATAGCCCACTGGCATATGATGCAGCTCCTGGTTCCCCAGGGTGCCACGGGCCAGCCTTGGCGGAATCTAATGGGGATTCCTGAGCCGAGAAACGGCCCCGGGCAATTGCACTCAATGGCTCAGGGCTGCCTGGCATGCTGACGATCACTCCCTGATTTGAAACTCCAGGGTAATCTGCTTAGTGAGGGAGTGTGGCAGGTGGAAGGGTCTCGGAGGCAAAAGGTAAGGGGAAAGCCAGGGGTCCTCACCTGGTCCCCTCAAAGCCCTGGGGTCCAGACCTCAGGGAGGAAAGCCGAGTGGAAGGAAGCAGGCCTTGTCTGAGCCACGTGAGAACGAGTCCTACAGGGACCATGCCACGTGTCTGTCCTGTGAACTCATGGACTCACTTGGAGTCAGGGACGTCTCAGTCCAGCTGACTTAGGGAAAGGCAGGGCCATACTTTGTGACCATGGAAAACAGTGAACAGTCCATCTTCGTCGTTCCTGTGGTGGGAGGCTCTTGAAGGGATGAGAGACAGAGTCCCTCCTTTGTGAGCCTAGGAGGAGCTCCCACGTTGCACAGGAGTGGCCACGGAGTTGGGCCCCCAAGGCTGAGATCCGGCTTGGCAGCCTCAGACACACATCACTTTTACCTGTGGCACCGCCCTTGGCCGTGAGCTCTATGCGGCTTGGGTCACCCCTCTGGCCGTCCCCTGTGCCCAGGTGCCACACTGCCGTGGCAGTAGGGTAGTGTCCCAGTACCGTGCTGCCTCACATGGGGGCTGTGGGTGAAACAGGGAAGGCTTTCCGGCCCCACCACCAGCACGAGAGGAACAGGGTAAAACCTGAGTTCTAGTCTTCAGCCTGAAACCAGATTCCCTGCACAGCAGCCTGGGGGCTCCCTGTGGGTTGGGGAACTCCACCGCCCTGAGGAGCGTGTCTGGAGCTAGGCCATACCTCCCAGGGCTCCCCTCACCCACAAATGTGTGTCCCTGAGCACTTTCTGGAGGTGTTTGTAGAATGCAGCCTCTCTCCCTTAAACGACTGCATTTGCTGCCCACCCACAGCAGCAGCAAGTGGTAAGACAGCTCCCCGCCTCGCCAGTCCTGCCCCTCCACGTCTGACAGGCACCCGCTCTGGAGAAAGCAAGGCGAGGGCTCAATCTCACGCTGCTCCTGGCGTGGTTCCTGGTGTGCGCCGGTCCTGCAGGTCAGGTTGCAGGGGGAGAATTTGTTTTATCAAAGTTATTGTCATTTCCTGGGGCTTCATAACGAATTATTATAAACTGGGCAGTTTAAAATGATAGGAATGTATTCCCACGTAGTTCTGGAGGCCACAAGTCCAAAATCGGGGTGCCAGCAGGCCCTGTCCACTCTAAAGACCCCAGGAGTGGGTCCTTCCAGGCCTCTCTTGGCCGCTGGTGGCTGCCGGTGACAATCCCTGGCATCCCTTGGCCTGGGGGTCTCTGCCTGCTTCTTCACCTGGTGCTCCCATCTGTTCTGTCCAGATTTCCCCCTTTTTCTAAAGACACCCATCCTATCGGAATGGGGTCACCCTCCAGGATGACGTCATCATAACTATATCTGCAACAGCCCTGTCCCCAAATGAGGTCACCTTCACAGGCAGGAAGGTTAGGACTTCAGCATATGACTTGTTGCTGGAGATACAGTTCAGCCCATAACACACCACATGGGAAGATAACACCGATTCCAGAACACGCAGAGGAAGCCGCCAGGAGCTCCAGTGAAATCTCAGCCCCCAGGTGCCCCGTCAGGCACGTTGGGCTGCGGGGGGCACTTCCTCCAGGGGTACATTTTTAGAACGCACAGCACCATAAACCAAAGAGAATGAGACTTCCTGGTGCCCCGTTGGCTTCTGGAGGCGACATTCTCAGCTGACAGCTCTGGCGGCCTCCCCAGTAGGTGAGAGACAGGTAAATGAGGCTCTTGCGTCCAACACAGAACAGGGTAAAAAATCTCAAGCGTCACCAACACATTGAGAAAAAACGAATCCAGCCTCCTGGGCTCTGGTCTCATCCCCAGCTCGTCACATGCCCGGGCCCTAGTCACAGATCCAGCAGCCCCCACACACCAAACCCCTTCCTGTTTCTCTGTGTAGAAAGGAACTCGGAATAGAGACGCTGAGCTGTTCACCTGGTGCCTTTTGTCTTTGCCAGCAGCAGGGTTGTATCTCACTCATGAGAGCCCTGTAGCAACGTGGGGACCCTGGGACCAGGCTTAAGCTGGGACTTCCCCGGATGGCTGGGCAGAGGAGCTGCAAAAGGCTGGTGCAGCAGGGGTTTGGGGGCGGCCCCTTCCCGAGATGGCAGCCCAGCCAGAGGCCCCTGGACAGTCTTGCCTCTGGGAGGAGAATAGAGGCCCTGGACAGGGTGGATCTAGCTCAGCCCCATGCGCCCAGAGGACGAGTGTGAGCCTGCAGTGTGGACCTACGTTCAGCCCACATAGCACACTCCGGTGGGGCCTCGGAGCCAGGGGTCTGGAGCCACCAGAAGCTGCCCCTTGGGACCAGCAGCAGCACCGGGGTCCAGACACAGCACCCGGGAGCAAGCGGACGTCCCCTGAGAGTCATGAGTTGGGTTTCTCCAGGTTTTCCTTCAAAGACGACAGAGGCCCAACTGCCAGCTGACACTTAGGACAGGGACGGGGCAGGTCTACCCTGGGGGCCACGGCCACTCTGGCCCCCAGCACTGTGCCAGGCAGAGATCAGAGCATGGAATGTGGGGTTTGCTCAGAGCTGGGGAGCCTGCAGGAGCCTGGGGTGGCAACTGAGGGCTCAGCTTTCATCCCAAACAAATGGCCTTGTGCACTGGCCCAAGCCCCAGGGGGAAGGGGGCGTGGGGACCCTAGGAAATGAAAGCAAAAATAAGCCTCAAATAGGATGAAAAGAAAGGGCGCCGTGCCAGCTGCTCAGTTTGCTGAAAACGCTGGTTTCCATGGCAACAGGATGCAGAGAGAGGGGCTGCCTGGCCAGGCAGGGTCGGGGAGCCCCAGCAGGCCCTTCTCTGCTCCCAGCTCTGGGATCTATCTGCAAGGGAAACCGCAGGATTCCCACAGTCAAACTGTCTTGCTTGGTGAAGACTTCCATAACCCTCCCAGGGAACGCAGAAGACTTAGAGACAACACGTGTGCGAATGTTTACACAAAAGAGCAAAGCAGAAAAGAAATCACACTCATGCTGTCGCAGTTAACACGGACAACGTTCAGCACTGCTCGGAAATGTGTCCATGGAATTCTTGCTTAGTGGGTGACAGTAGATACCCTTTGATTGGTGCATGTTATTGGCTGGTTTTGTTAATATCTTGCTGAATCTGTTAGAATTCCCCCTACACATCAAACTGTGGTAGCAACTCTGACAGGTTTTCAAGCGTGAAAGCAGAGGGAAGGGCGACCACGTGAGTCTGTAGTGCGGAGGTTATCACGGGGAGGAGACAGCGGCATGCGAGAAGTCTCTTTTCCAGAAAGGAAATCTGTGTATTATTCTAGCTTTGGAAATAGCACATGCTCGCTGGAAAACCTCCAAGCTCTGCTGACGGGAGTTGAAGGGTGGGCACCCATCATGACAACGGCAGACAGTGTCCCTCGTTTAAATCTGGACACAAGGCCTTCCGGATGTTTTTCTGTGTATAGATATCTTGTTTTGAAAAACAACTGTAACATGCTGTTTCGTGGTCTCTTTTTCACTAATGGCCTTGTGAGCAATAAATAGATTAAATGTAACCAGCATACAGCTCAGAGATTTTCCCAGAAGGCCACAATCAGGCACTCTTTTTAAACCGACCCAATGTGCTCTTTCTTCCCTGTGGCTTGGTCATTTTTCAGCATTAGCTTTCAGTACATACTGTGCATAGCGTTCTTATTTCCCCTTTTCGTGTAAAGTTTTCTCACTCCACGTAATATCCGTGATTATCTTCCTAATGCATAATAGTCCATGAAGCGATGCACTGTGGTGGTTTAAACTACTTTCCATTTGGGGACATTCAGGTGGCTTCTAGTCAGTTTTGTGTTTTTGTTACAACGAATCAAGCCACGATGAATATCTGTGTGCATAGAGCTGTTTGCTCCTGTTTAATTCTTAAGATAAATTCCCCAGGGCAGATGTGTGGGCTCAGAGGATACGAATTTCTTTTTTTTTTTTTTTTTTTTTTTTGAGATGTGGTCTCACTCTGTCGCCCAGGCTGGAGTGCAGTGGCATGATCTCGGCTCACTGCAACCTCTGCCTCCCAGGTTCAAGCGATCCTCCTGCCTCAGCCTCCCGAGTAGCTAGGACTACAGGCACATGACACCACACTCAGCTAATTTTTGTATTTTTAGTACAGATGGGGTTTCACCATATTAGCCAAGATGGTCTTGATCTCCTGACCTCATGATCCACCTGTCTCGGCTTTCCAAAGTGTTGGGATTACAGGTGTGAGCCACTGTGCCCAGCCAAGGATATGAATTTCTATGTGGCTCTTACAGTGCAGTATTAAATTGCTCTCCCTGAAGATGGGGCTTTATTTACAAATTGCAGGAGCTTCAGCTGCATTCAGCTCCCTGAGTGCCCCCCAGCCTGGTGAATGTCACACAGGCCAGGCGTGACCCCCACCTACTGTCGTCCAAGTACACAGGGAGCCTGGTCACTTCCAAGCAAGTGCACAGCCGCAGAGGGTCCCCAAATCCACCCAGCCCACCCCCTCCCCCCAGGCACTCTGCTGCAGGGGCACAAGGGCAGCTAGGCCTCCTGGGGCAGCCGCTCCTCTTTCAGCTTCCAGGGACCACCCTGCAGCCAGCACACTGCCCAGGCAGAAGGCGGCTTTCCCTCCGAAACACACCTGGCTCACTTTGCCCTGCTCCTGTGTGGGATACCTCGACACCAAGTGCTAAACGAAAATGGAGTCAGGCAGAAAATTCATCTGTTAACGTTGCATGTAACAGGGCAAGTTGGAAACATTTTAAAAGTGTGTCACTGGGGACTGGATACTAACGTGTGCTTCAGCCACACCCTGGAGGAGCTTTGAAAATGGAGCTGAGCTCTGTGCAGCAGCTTGGGATGAGTTCATGATGTGTTAGGTGACAAAGCAAGTTGCAGCAGAGTGAATTTGGTGCAATTCCATCTTTGTTTAAAAGTACAAAGGGGCTGGGTGGGGTGATTCACGCCTGTAATCCCAACACTGTGGGAGGCCGAGGCGGGCAGATCACTTAAAGTCAGGAGTTTGAGACCAGCCTGACCAATATGGTGAAACCCCGTCTCTACTAAAAATACAACAATTAGTCACGTGTGGTGGCAGGCGCCTGTAATCCCAGCTCCTCAGGAGGCTGAGGCAGGAAAAGCACTTGAACCTAGGAGGCAGAGGTTTTAGTGAGCTGAGATTGCATGATTGCACTCCAGCCTGGGCAACAGAGCGAGACGCTGCCGGCATGGGGGTAAGAGGGATGGTACAAAGGATTGGGGTGCAGTGGCTCACCCTGTAATCCCAGCACTTTGGGAGGCTGAGGCAGAAGGATCGTTTGAACCTAGGAGTTCAAGACCAGTCTGGGTAACATAGCAAGACCCCATCTCTACAAAAAATTAAAATACTTTTAAAAGGTATAAGTGGCCACCCATGTGTGTCCACACTTCAGAACATCCTGGAAAGATAAACCAAACGATTAGAAGTGATTTCCAGAGTATAGGATTTCAGGAGACAAATGGGTAAAGTGAGGACTTCAGTTTTCTTACTTTGCTTCTTTTTTACCTTATTACCGTGTTGTTTAGATTCTTTAGAATGAGTGTTTTCATTTTGAAAACATGCGGAAAAGGTTTTTTAGAAACTTGTCTAAAGGAGAAGATAACCCTCAACATCTGACTTTCTGTGTGTTTTCCAAGAGCCCACTGTGAGGTCAGAGGTCCAGGCAGGGCCTCGGGGATTTCGCTTGAGGGGTCCCTGCCACCCTGACTTCCTCTCCCACAGCAAATAAGCCCACCCGGAGCTTGGGGGTTTGGGTTTGTCGCTTGCTGCTGCCCTGCCGAGGGCTCCACCGGACTGAGACAGCAGGACCCCAGCTCATCTCTGCTCCTCTCTCTAGGGCCAGCTGCCTCTGTAAGTACAGTTTTTTGGATAACAACAAGAAGTTGACTCCTCGACGTGATGTTCCCACTTACCCCAAGGTAAGGTGAGATTCCAGCCCAGAAGCGGCTCTGGCAGGCTCTGGCCCTGCGGCCCGGGGTGCTGTGTGCACACCCCCGTAAACAGCCCCTCCTGGCCCCAGGCTGCGGATGGTCAGGGTTACTCTGAGGCAAAGTATTTTTTCTCTGACATTTGTTTAGCAAAAGCGATCCCAGAGCATACCTTCCCCTGAAAGGCGGTAATAGCTCTGTGCTGCTGTCCGCCCGGCCCCTGGAGCTGCCCTTGGTAAATAGTTTTCACACTCAAACATTAAAGAACTTTAATGTTTAACTAAATTCTTTAAAATTTAATTAAAACATTTTTTTGGATCCACTCCTTTGGCCCTGGTCCCTGAGCAATCCTTAGTTGTCCTGACAAGTTTTGCTGTTTTGCACAAAAGTGTTCTTAGTTATAAGAGAAGCTGTGACGTTGGTGAGGTAGCAATGGCATTTTTTAAATAATGACAAAAGGAGGGTCTCAAGATGCTGTCACCCTCTCAACGCCTTCAGCTAGGAAGCAGGCAAAAATCCCAGCCCAGTTCGTTTTTAATGTGTTCTTGTGCTAAGATTCAGGGGCACGGTTTGCACAGACGCAGAGGCCTGGGCGGCACACGGTGGGCTCTGCGGCTGCCTGCCATTCAGGCAGTGACAGCCTTCCAGAGCCTCCATGTGGGCCGCTGGTGTCCGTTAGTCAGCGACTCTGTCCACACAGTTCCAAACAGTGCCCTGGATGTTGTCAGGTTTTGGGGTTGGGTAATTTTTGTTGTTTTTTTTTGGGGGGGTTGGGTATTTTTTGTTGTTTTTTTGAGACGAAGCCTCACTCTGTCGCCCAGGCTAGAGTGCAGTGGCACGATCTCGGCTCACTGCAACCTCTGCCTCTCGGGTTCAAGTGATTCTCCTGCTTCAGCCTCCCCAGCAGCTGGGATTACAGGCTCACACCACCATGCCCGGCTAATTATTGTATTTTTAGTAGAGACGAAGTTTCACCACGTTGGCCAGGCTGGTCTCAAACTCATGACCTCAGGTGATCTACCCGCCTCAGCCTCCCAAAGTGCTGGGACTACAGGCGTGAGCCACTGCGCCCGGCCTTATCTGAGGTTTTTGAATGGAGATTAGTCCTTTTTCCATTGCAAAATATGCCCCACACTTCTTGTGATCCTGCCCCAGGGAGTCGTGAAGCACACCTAGATCCAAAATCAAAGGTGTCAGCCCTCTGGATCTGTTCCCTTATAAAAAACAAAACACAAATATCCCGTAAGACCCAGGAGAAGACAAGGAATGTGTAATGCCCAAGCAGTGTTCTTGTCTTCTGTCTAAAGCCACAGCCTCTGTCCTGTGACAGCTTAACCTAAAGCCTGATGTCCTTAGGAGCAGCCCCAGGGCACCATCCGGGTCAGCAGGCCTGCTCTTCAAGCTCTCAGCAGAAACCAGGGATGGGTTCTGGACAGGAGCATCTCAGAATAACTTCTTTTTTTTTTTTTTTTTTTTTTTGAGACGGAGTTTCGCTCTTGTTACCCAGGCTGGAGTGCAATGGCACGATCTCGGCTCACCGCAACCTCCGCCTCCTGGGTTCAGGCAATTCTCCTGCCTCAGCCTCCTGAGTAGCTGGGATTACAGGCACGTGCCACCATGCCCAGCTAATGTTTTGTATTTTTAGTAGAGACGGGGTTTCACCATGTTGACCAGGATGGTCTCGATCTCTTGACCTCGTGATCCACCCGCCTCGGCCTCCCAAAGTGCTGGGATTATAGGCGTGAGCCACTGCGCCCAGCCTCTCAGAATAACTTCTTAGATGGTATTTGAATTTATGCGAAGTGAATCCCCACCCACCACCACTTCACTTTATTGTCCTTTTTTTTTTTTTGAGATGGAGTCTCACTCTATTGTCCAGGCTGGAGTGCCATAATGTGATCTCAGCTCACTACAACCTCCACCTTCCAAGTTCAAGCGATTCTTCCGCCTCAGCCTCCCGAGTAGTTGGGATTACAGGCACCCACCATCATGCCCTGCTCATTTTTGTATTTTTGTAGAGATGAGGTTTCACCATGTTGGCCAGGTTGGTCTTGAACTCCCAACCTCAGGTGACCTGCCTGCCTCGGCCTCCCAAAGTGCTGGGATTATAGGCTTGAGCCACCGCGCCCAGCTGTTGTCCATTTTCTCATCAGGCTTCTTGAGGTCTCATTTACACGCAGTAGTTCTTTAGGTCTGGAGTACAGTGAATTTTGACAAACTTGCTTAGTCCTCTGACCTCCACCACAAGCAAGATACGGCACATTTCTGTCACCCCGAACCCTCCCCCGCCCCCCTGGCCCTGCCCCTGGCGTCCACTGATAGGATTTCCACCGTGGCACTGGTCCTTTCCAGAAGGCTGTGGCCTGTGAGTCTGACACAGGCGCCTTTGAAAGAGAATGGGAGAAAGAGAAGTGTCCCGGCACGCACATGGCACCGCGGGCCCCCGGCGCCTGGTTAACACGGAGCTCCTGTCCTTTCCAGTATCTGCTCTCTCCAGAGACTGTCGAGGCCCTGCGGAAGCCGACCTTTGACGTCTGGCTTTGGGAGCCCAACGAGGTAAGTGCGGGACTCATGGGCACCGCATCCTGGGGGGAGGCAGCTCAGGATCGGGGACCCCAGTGGGACCACCCCCATCACTCTTCCTCCTTCATGCCTTCTCCTCATCTTTTTAAAGACTGAAAAAAGACAAAAACAAAAACAAACAAAAAAAAACCCTTGCTTCGCCAGCTTTTAGTTGAAAGTAACACTTTCTAGGAGGGCTCAGGAGACAGACCTCACAGCAGGGGGATTCTGTGAGTTGGGGAGGCAGTTGTCAGGGCAGGGAGCCTCCATCCAGGGCTCCTCCATGCTGGACTCCCCAGGCCTCTGCCCGCCCTACAGACCCTCTCGAGAGGCTGGCAGCCCCATGCTGCACCTGCAAACAGGCTGTGTGCTACAGAATGCCCCTGCTGGGAGCAAGTCTCTCCTTGAGGAAGGGGCTATGGTCAGAGTGCTCTGCTCTGAGACCATTGTCTGCAAAGGCAAGGCACAGGCAGCTGGCAGCCCCAGATAAGTGACATGTGGGTTCCGGGAACTGTGTCACCTTCTGTAGCAAGGCTTGAGGCCAGGAGTTCCAGACCAGCCTGGGTGATGTGGCTTGGCTGTGTCCCCACCCAAATCTCACCCTGAATTGCCATCCCCACATGTCAAGGGTAGGGCCAGGTGGAGATAACTGAATCATGGGGGCGGTTTCCCCCCATGCTGTTCTCGTGGTAGTGAATGAGTCTCAGGAGATCTGACGGTTTTATAAACGGGAGTTCCCCTGCGCACACCCTCCTGACTGCCGCCACGTAAGTGATCTTCTCCTCCTTTGCCTTCTGCCATGATTGTGAGGCCTCCTCAGTCGTGTGAAACTGCTAGCCCATGAAGCCTCTTTTTCTTTATCAATTTCCCAGTCTTGGGTATGTCTTTATTAACAGCATGAGAACAGACTAATGCACTGGGCAGCATAGCAAGACCTCGTCTCTACAAAACAAAGAAGTGTTAAATTCCCATTGGCTGAAAAATTAAAAAATTGGGAATTTTTGTGTTTTTGCACCCCAAGAAATGAAAACGTTTTCTCCTTGCTGTCCTCGGGCCCAGCAGGTTTCAACCCACCAAAATCTAAGGACGTTTTTGTGCTTGTCAGCAACATGGAAAATGCAGACGGCTCCTCAGCAAGCTCACCTGCGATTTTTGACAAGCTGGGCCGCAGCGAAGTCTCCACAAAGGGCAGGAAGTGGGATCCCCGAGGTCAGGTTGCTGACCCCGGAGCCCCTGCCCTCTGCTAAAGGAACCTCTTTCATGAGCTTCGTCTCCCAGCAGGAGAAAAACGGCGGCAGCAGCACCAGCCAGAAAAGCGGAGATCCAGCCCGCACTCCCCACCCCAGCTCACCCGGAAGGGCAGCAGGCGGTCAGTCCCAGGGGCTGCATTACTGCAGACCTCACAACCTCCAGCCACCATGTGCCAGTTTGCTCCCCAGGTCTGAGAGTGCAGGACGACAGTCATGGAGCCGACAGGAGGAGCCGGCTTTACCTGTGCAGCGTGACTGTCTAGGTCAACGCATAAAAAGAAAGGGCCCAGGTA